ATGTATTAATATATATATATATACATACACACCCATATACGTGTTTTAATAAGTATGTATATATTTTTGTATATATATATATATACAGAGAGAGAGAGAGAAAGAGAAACAGAGAGAAACAGAGAGAAAGACAGAGAAAGACAGAGAAAGAGAGAACACAACCGCTCCGAAGAACATGTTGACGCACTCCCCCACGAGCCGAACAAAGCCCTGTCTTCGCTGACCAAGCTCATGGACTCCACCATGTTACATCATGTTGTAACCTACCACAGAGCGGTATGCGATATGACCTTCATATCAAGGTGACATAAACGCCCCAAACCCCAGGCCTGAACCCTGGAGCCCTACTACGATTCTGGTCCACAGCCTAGCGCCGAAGACCCGAAAGTCCCCAAACGTTCGAAAACCCCTGAAACCCTGAAAACCGCAACACGCTGAATGCCTTGCCTGAATATGCTCACAAACCCCCCCAAAAAAAAAGCTTGCTCCCGGAAAGCCCCAAACACATGCCAAAATGAAGCACGCACCTCGGGCTCCTCCTCGTCTTCGGCCTTGGCCGCGCCGTTGCGCGAACGCGCCTCGCCGGCTGCATGCGGGAGCCCCATTGTTTGGGGGAATATACGATTTAGGGTTCCAGGCTTTAGGACCCTTTAGGGCCTGGGGGGTTTCCATGGGTTTCAGGACTTAGGGGTTTCAAGTTCCAGCGCTGCGGCCTGAGCTAACTTTACAAGTCCTAGCAACTTAGCCTCAAGCCGAAAGCCCGAAACTCAGAACGCTGAAAAAAAAGAAGAAGCCTGAACTCGAAAACTCGAAACCCCCCGAAATCCTGAACTCCTTAAGCCTTAAGCCTCAAAACCCCCAAACCTTTATAGAACCCTGACAGATCCCTTTAAAAGGTCCCCTTCACACCACAAGGCATGGATGCCTCGGACTTGTGGTTTGCTTTCCTGGCATAAGGAGGTCGAAGCACGCACTCCGGGGGATGGGAGTTTTTAGGGCTTACGGTTTCTTTAGCCTCCAGGGACTTGGGGCTTCGATTCTGGAAGGTTCGAGTTTGGTAAGACCTACGGATTGGGATTGGGGCTGGTGCCTCCAAGTTTTCAAGCTTGGGGTTTAGGAGCTTGGGTGTCAGCCTTCGTGGGTTTCACGTTGCTTTGCCTCCGGGGCTTGGGGCTTAGGACGCTCGGGTCCAGCGATCCGGTCACTCCACGTGAAATGAAAGACGAATCAATCCAGGCCCCTGTCGGGGGTCCGAGGCAGGATGGGGGCGAAGGTAGAACTCCGGTTCAAGGTTCAACGGTTCAGAAAGTCTAAACCTTAATTACGTGACCCTGAACCCCTATTTCTTTGCTACTCCTCCATGTACACCCGACGGACGCCCGAAGCAAATCGCGGCGGTTCGACACTCCGTTCGGAGCGGCCGCCGCCGGGGCCTAATGCAGAGACATGTGCCCTTTTTCCGGTCCCGAGTCGGGTTTCAGGTTTAAAAAGTGTA